GTGGGCTCAAACCCCAGTGAGGGATGTGACGGCAGCCTATTGATGTTTCTCTCTCTAAAATAAAATATTTAAAAATAAGCCGAAACCAGTTTGGCTCAGTGAATAGAGCGTCAGCCTGCGGACTGGAAGATCCAGGGTTTGATTCCGGTCAAGGACATGTACCTTGGTTGCGGGCACATCCCCGGTAGCGGGTGTGCAGGAGACAGCTGGTCAATGTTTCTCTCTCATTGACATTTCTAGCTCTCCATCCCCTCTCCCTTCCTCTCTGTAAAAAACCAATAAAATATATTTTAAAAAAATGAAATTAATTCAATTAATTTTAAAACGTACAAAATGATAGTTACAGAATAGTCATGGACATGTAAAGTATATATAACATAAGAAATATAGTAATACTATATTATGTAGTATGGTGTCAGGTACAAGATTTATTGTGATTACTTCATAAGTTATCTAAATATCTAATTAATATAAGGTTATACACCTGAAACTAATATAATTTTTTTTTCAATTGTAATTGAAAAATAAAAACATATTTAAAACATTTTACTCACTAGAGGGGGCTAGAGCAACATAGCTGCTCCCTATTCAATGCTAGCTACTACACATTTTCCTTAGACATAAAACTAGAGAGCCAAGCCTATTTAAAAAATATAACAAAATAAATGTGATCATGGACTCCCACTCAACCCTTTTCCATTCCTAAATGACAGACTGAGCTTCCATAATTAATTATTTATAACTAGAGGCCTGGTGAACGAATTTGTGCACGAATGGAGTCCCTCAGCCTGGCTGGGATTGGGGCCAATCAGGGCCATCTTGCTTAATCCTGATCAGGGCCAGCCAGCTAGGGGAGATTGGCTGTGGGAGCATTTTGCCCACGAGGGGGCAGCTCCTGCATTGAACATTTGCTCCCTGGGGGTCAGGGCGCATCATAGCTCGCATTTTCACTTCCTTTCCTAAAAATATCATTTTAAAATTTCCTGTAGCTTAATGGGATGAGTAAATATCTTACAGTCAGTAAAATATATGGTTTTTTGGTTTATCAGTATTCAATTCATTTTGGTAGGCAGTTAAGTTACTTGTAGATCAGCTTGGATTCTGGGAAGCAATGCTTATTTTCCACAACACCCACTGCATTTTAAAAACATAACTTCTGAGTTGTAATACATGAAAAATCTTTACAACCTAATGTTGTCTTTTACATTCTATTCTCTCTAAATGAAATGCCCTTCTTCCACCTTAGAAACTACTATTGAATCTCTAACCCAACTATATTCTATTTTTTAAAATTTTATTGACTTTAGAGCAAGAAGAAAGGGGGAAGGGGAAAGAGAGAGAAAGAGAGAGAGAGAGAGAAAGAGAGAGAGAGAGAGAGAGAGAGAGACTTGTTGTTTCACTTATATATGTCTTCATTGGTTGATTCTTATATGTACCCTGAATGGAGATCAGACCCGCAAACTGCATATCGAGACAACACTCGAACCAATTAAGCTATCTGGCCAATACTATAAAAACACTTCTTATTCAATGATATCCCTTTGGGGGCTTTAAAACTTCTCAATTAGATTGCTTATTATGCTATATTTTCCCAAGGAAATAAGTTTTTTTTAAGTAAGGTATATCTTACAAAGTACTTAGAACATAGAAAACATTCAACCAAAGAGGAATGAATGTAGATTAATCATCAAGATTATTTTAGTACATGCAAAATGCCATTATTTTGAATTAACAAAAAACCCCAAATACCATTAGAATCCAAACTATAGAAATGTCATCTGGAAAGACAGAGAATAGGTAAAGATCAGAGAAGATATATCAGCCCGGAACAACAGTGTGGTGGTATTACAGTGAATATTTAGGTGTTTGTGATGAGATTCACATTTGTGTATTTTACATTTGTATGTGCTTTACGATTGTCAAAGTTTTTTTTTTAAACATGGAAGTATAAAAGATCTTTAAAGGATGCCAGCTGATAGAAACTATTACTTACTCTGTAGTTTTGTAAACATCAGAATACAGTCCTGCTTTCTGATACTTCTTCTTTGGGGGACGTGGGACCTTCTTTTCTCTTGGGATGAGAGAAAGCACGGGTTGCAAGGTGCTTTCAGGTTCAAGAGGTTTGGCTGGGGTTTCAGGAGGACTGGGAATCTCAACTGCTGCTTCAGTAAAGCTATAAAAAGAAGTTTAAAGATAATTTTATGGTGAAAAAAATATCTTTCTACAAATGATTTATTTTAAAAACCATAACAGCAATTTAAAAAAGGAGATATGGAGTCTTTCTCATCTGGCTATGCTGGAATAATAGATACCACACTTGTTCTCCTGACAGAAACTAATAAAATACAGTAAAGTACTGTAAACCTGGATAATGTTTATGAAACAACCAATAGACATCAGAAAATAGTGCAGCACTGTGATCCCTGAGAAAAATTGGAAACACTCACAAACAATAAACAAAATAAAAAATGAGAAGAAGAGAAAGTCCTATAACCACTTTTCCTTTATGAGGAAGTAGAACAGTTGAAAAGAGAACAATCAGAGTACTGAGAGGCTGAGGTAGCTGGAAATCATGGGGCAGAATATTGAAGTGAAGTTATAGAGAAGTGAAGAGAAAAATATTGAAGTGAAGAGAAAAATAACTCTATAAATCTGTGTATGGATTTCCTTTAGTATACTGCTGAATACTAAGTTGTGCATGTGCAGGGTGAAATTCTATAAGGCCAGTCAAAGAACTACCAGAGTACTATAACCTGGATAATTCCCAGAGCTCATATATGATGGTAGATACTCCAATTTCATTAGGCACAGTAGAAAGACATTACCCAATACCAGGGCCATTCACTAGTGATCCCAAAGGGTAGTATTACTCATTTTTGTAGGGCTTAACTATATCTGGACTAAAGCCAAATCCCAATAGAGCTTAAAAACAATCTTCAAAAGAATCCAAGCTGATCTACAAGTCACTTAATTGCCTATCAAAATAAATTAAATACTATGAAAAGAACAAAAACCAGACACAATAATTTAATATTCACAACGTAAAAAATTTCATAATGAAAAAAATATTTTTTTAAAGTACTGGTCAAAATTTTTCCAAATTTGATAAAAATTATAAACTCAAAGTTCCAAGACACTAAACAAACCATAGGGAATATAAACTCAAATAAAACAAGTAAAGCATAATATAATAAACTTGCTGAAAATTATTGAAGAAAACAAAAAGGGATCAGAGAAAAAAATACATGATATATACAAGAGTACAAAAATAAGATTGAGTGCAGCTTTCATGTATGAAACAATGCAATCAGAAGGCAATGAAATAATATCTACTATAGTGCTAAAAAGGGGGGGGTGCCTCTGAATTCATTAAAAATTCTAAAGAAATAGAAAAAACTTTAAAAAATTAAGGTGATTCCAGTTCCAGGCAAAGATGAAACAATCCTTCCACTAAGTACAATTAAAAATCCTGGAAAATTCATATCAAATAAACACAAGCAAACAGATTGCCTAGAGACTTTGGGAACTAAAGCACTGACATGGCAGGGAATTTCCTAGATTTCTTTTTTGCTTTGTATTTAATGGTGAAAGACAATACAATTTACCTAACATCAAGGACAAGGCAAATGCCTAGTTTCACCGCTTATATTCAACATCATAATAAAGGTCACAGCCTGTGCAAAAATGGGAGAAAAATCAAGAAACTCTTAAAGTGGGAGTCCTCCAAATTTATTCTTTTTCTTTCTTTTTATTTTTTAAAATATATTTTATTTATTTTTTTACAGAGAGGAAGAAAGATAAAAACACGGATGAGAGAGAAACATCAATCAGCTGCCTCCTGTGCACGCGCACGCGTGTGTGTGTGTGTGTGTGTGTGTGTGTGTGTCCCTAGATGTGCCCGCAACCAAGGTACATGCCTTTGACCAGAATCAAACCTGGGATCCTTCAGTCCGCAGGCTGACACTCTATCCACTGTGCCAAACTGGTTTTGGCTAAATTTATTCTTTTTCAAGATTGTTTTGGCTATTTGGAATCCCTTGAAATTCATAAGGATGATTTTTAGAATGGATTTTTCTATTCCTGCAAAATACATCATTGGAATTTTGATAGGGATTGCACTGCATCTACAGATGGCCCTGGGTAGTACTGGTATTTTAAAAATATTAAGTTTTCTAACCCATGAACACAGGCTATCTTTCCATTTACTTATTTCTTTAATTTTGTTCAACAATGTTTTGTATTATAAATTTTCAGTTAAAGTCTTTGCCTTACTGGGTAAGTTTATTCTTAACTATTATACTCTTTTTTATGTTACTGTAAATAGAACTGGGTTTTTCCCCCCCTTAAAAATAAAAAATACAGAACACTTCACAAATTTGCCTATTATCTTTGCACAGGGGCCATGCTAATCTTCTTTGTATTGTACCAATTTTAGTATGTGTGCTGCTGAAGCAAGCACTTGAACTGTTTTAATTTTCTCTTTGGAAAGAAGTGTATAAAAATGCAATTGATTTTTGTATGGTGATTTTGCATTCTGAACTTTACTTAGTTTATAAGCTTTAGGTATTGTGTGTATGTTTATGTGTGTGATCCTTAGGGTTTTCCAAATATAAGATATGGTATCTGGGACCTGACTCGGGTGACTCAGTTGGTTGGAATGTAGCAAAGTTCCAGGTTAGATATCCAATCAGGATACATATGATAAGCAGCCAATCAATGCTTCTCTTTCCTAAAAATAAATAAATAAATCTCTCTATATAAAAGGCTAAGTGACTGACAGTATGTCCCACCAGCACATATGACACTCATTGGCAATTTAAAATAAATGTTGACTCGTGCATGCGTGGTACATATAAAGTTCTCACTGGCACCAGTCACACCAGTGTGTTTCTTGAAGCTGAAATATTAACAGGATATGTGGAAGGAATTGTTCTGATTCCAAAAATTGATTTGTCCCTGTCTGACACTGGCCTCCCATTTAAATTAATTCGAAGATAGTTTCCCATGATGCCAGCATTTGCAATGCATAATAAGTCACAAGGACAAACTCTAGAAAGAACAGAAATATTCCTACATGAACCTGTTTTCAGACATGGTCAGTTATATGTTGCTTTCTCTCAAGTATGAAGAGCATGTGACATTAAAGTTAAAGTTGCAAATACTTCATCATAAGAGAAATTAGTTAAGCACTCTGAAAGTGTTTTTATTTTTAATGTGGTATACAGGGAGATACTAGAATAATTTTAATCAATTAATCAGTCACTCTTTTTATCAAGGTTTTTGTATCATGTTTTGTTTTTAGATCATGTTTTTGTTATTTTTATATCATGTCTTGTCATATCATATTGTTATTTATTATTAATCAATTTCTATATTATTTTCATATACATTTTACTAATTTTCTTTCATCTCTGACACTTTTATTATAGAGATAGGGCGAATAGCGATATTAAAATATTTCTTCTGGCCGAAACCGGTTTGGCTCAGCGGTAGAGCGTCGGTCTGCGGACTGAAAGGTCCCAGGTTTGATACCGGTCAAGGGCATGTACATTGGTTGCGGGCACATCCCCGGTAGGAGGTGTGCAAGAGGCAGCTGGTTGATGTTTCTCTCTCATCGACGTTTCTAGCTCTCTAACCCTCTCCCTTCCTCTCTGTAAGAAAAATCAATAAAATCTATTTTAAAAAATATATTTCTTCTAATTAACTGCCTTTCAATTTGCATGAATCTATCACTGGGCCACTAGAAAATAAAATAATGAAATGAAATAAAACATATCCTTGGGTGAAGAATAAAGTTAAAGTTGCAAATACTTTATCATAATTTGTTAGCCTACTGATGTACTAGATTGCATGAATTACAAAAATAAAAAAAGACAGGGCCTTTGAGAACAGACCTAATTTTATTTTTTCCTTCAAAATTTAGATGCCTTTTACTTTTTCTTGCCTAATTGCTGTGGTTAGGAATTCCAATATTATGTTGAACTGAAGTGGCAAAAGTGGGCAACCTTGCTTCATTCCTGATGTTAGGGAGAAGTTCTCAGTCTTTTACCATTGAGGTTAGCCAGGAGGTTTTATATATATGGTCTTTATTACGTTAAGGTAGTTTCTTTCTATTCCTAGGTTGCTCAGAGTTTTTATCATGACTTTGTGAAATTCATTTTCTACATTTATTAAGATCATAAGATTTTTGTTAGCCTACTGATGTACTGGATTACATGAATTGATTTCTGCATATTGAACAAGTCTTACATAACTTACTTGATCACAGAATCTACTTAATATTTATTTATTTACTTAAATTTTTTTTTTCCTGTTCTGACCCAATTTGCTTCTACTTCTGTGCCTTATTTATGTTTCTTTCCCCTGCAATAAAAAATATTTTTTTTCTGGTTTCCTGCTTATCTCCTACATATATAAATTCACCAATGGCCTTGTTTTTTCCCCAAGTGCCACCTATAGATCATATACTTCAGAATCACCTTGAGGGCTTATAAGAAAAACAAATGCCTACTCATAGAATGTTTAAAATTTATATTGAGGTTTGGGATTAAACACCTTCCTAACCTTGCTGACCCTCCAAAGTAGGCACTATTAATAAGATCATCATTTAAAAAACAAACAAATAACAGCATCCTTTTCATCCTACTCAGGCGCTGACTTTCTAGGGCCTGGATCAATACTCTTCTCCCCCCCGCCCCCCCAGGCCCTCACCCACCCAACTCCCTCACTCTCTCTTTAAAAAAAAAAAAAATATTTTATTGACTTTTTACACAGAGGAAAGGAGAGGGAAAGAGAGTTAGAAACATCGATAAGAGAGAAACATCAATCAGCTGCCTACACGCCCACCCAGGGATGTGCCCGCAACCAAGGTACATGCCCTTGACCGGAATCAAACCCAGGACCCTTCAGTCCGCAGGCCAATGCTCTATCCACTGAGCCAAACTGGTTTCGGCTCCCTTTCTCTTTTAAGACTCCAAATTTCAGCTCAGGGTCACCTTGCCACACCCCAGGGCCATCTACCTAATGGCTTAAAAACTAAATTTTTCAGGAGAGAAAAAAGAGAGGAAGAGGTATAGCATTTTAATAGATGGTTTATGATGTAATTATCTACACCAATATAATACCTTTATTTTATTTTTAAAAGTAAAAATAGTATTAACTACTATATCTTTTTTAGGGATTTCTTTTATTTAATATTATGTTTCCAAGAACCATCTGTAATTATTGCAGCTGTAGTTCATGAATTTTTACTATCATATCACATTTCAACTGTGTAAAAAATAATATACTACTTCTTTTTTTGTTAATTTGAGATATTTCTATTTTATTACCCATTATAACCAATCTTGCTACTACGTTTTCAAAAAGTGTTTTCTAGTGCCTATTGTGCAAGAGGTTTTTTTTTTTATTATTATCTAAAAGGAAACTGCTAGATTATATAGGTTGATTTGTAACTATTTTTGTTGTTGTTACATAATCTGATACAAAAGAGGTATACATTACATGTGTTATAAATTTCCTCTCCCAGTTTGCAGCAAGACTTTATGTTTGTCATGCTATTTGATGAAAAGAAATTCTTATAATATAATCCAGTTTATCAATTTTTACCTACTGTATATTACTGTTACTGTTTTTGATATCCTGTTTATGAAATCCTTTCTGAGAACAAGATCATGAAGTTTCTCTCTTTCCATATTAGCTTCTAAAAGTTTAAGTTTTGCTTTTAGATTTATGTATTTAATCAATTGGGAATTTATTTTTCTAATCTAATTTAAGACAAAAATCCAATTTCATTTTCATTCTTATATAATACCAGCTTTTGGGACCCAATGTATCGAATATTGTTTTCCCCCCCATTGTATCAACTCTGTCACATAGCAAGCTTGCATACATGAATGGATTTGTTTCTCTAACCCACTCAGTTTCATACTATCTTAATATACCATATCTTAAAATTAAGTCTTGGGACACACCCATCACTTTATTTAGTTAATACCATCCCTAAGTATATACCTTGGAGAAATTAGTGTCCAAATCCAAAAGTGGACATTAGAGTAATATTAAGAGCAGCAGTTTTAGATAATAGCCTCAAACTGAAACTAAGCCAACAGTAAAATGATAATAAAAGTCTAATATGCAAATACATAGAGCGGTGAACAACTGGAACAACCAAACAATCAGACACTATGAAGTGCACTGACCACCAGGGGGCATATGCGAAACATGGTGGGCACAGGCTGCTGTGCGATGGTGGAGAAGGTAAGCGGGGGGATGCCAGACCAAGGCAGGACACTGGTTGCTGTCATTGGGGCGAGCCTCTGGTGGTTACAGAAAATTCTTTGCTCACACACACTGCGATCCTGCCTGGTGCTCTGCTCGCACCCACAGCCAATGCTGGAGCTGCCACTCACACCCACTGCTGGTGCTTGGTGCCAGCCTTGATCACCCCAAAGGGCTTCTCTACCAACCCTGCTCCTGAGGAGCAATTGGGGCAGCAGCCGCAGCTCACTCCCGCTGATGGAGCAGGCCGCCATCACTCCGTGCAGTTAGCAGGTATGAGCGATGGGAGTGGGGCTGCTGGTAGACAGGGAACCAGGGAACTGCAGCAGGAAGGCCAGAGCAAGGGTGAAGAGGATGGGCTGAGACCCACTCCTGTGCCTACTGCAGACTCACGGTCCACATTTCAAGGTGCATGAATTTGTGCATTGAACCTAGTCTATTATAATAATAGCACAATATGCTAATTAGACCAGATAGCCAAATGACCTTCCAGACAGAAGCCAGGCTGTGCGGTTGCGAGGTCCAAGCCCCTTGAATGAATTTTGTGGATCGGGCCTCTAGTATTATATACAAATAATGGATTACCATTTAGTAACAAAACAAAGGTAACTACAGCTACATGCAGCAATAAAGATGGTTTAACATGTATATGTAGAGCAAAAACAGGTGAGACACAAAAGCATATGCCTTGTAAATTCCATTTCAATGACATTCAGGAAGGACAAACTAAATTATACTATCTATGGTTACATACCTAAATTTTATAAAATAAGGTAAAGATGTGGTTACCGCCGAAACCGTTTTGCTCAGTGGACAGAGCATCAGCCTGCAAGCTGAAAGGTACCAGGTTCGATTCTGGTCAAGGGCATGTACCTGGGTTGCAGGCACATCCCCAGTAAGGGGTGTGCAAGAGGCAACTGATCGATGTTTTTCTCTCATTGATGTTTCTAACTCTCTATCCCTCTCTCTTCCCTCTGTAAAGAATCAATAAAAATATATTAAAAAAAAAAAAAAAAAAAAAGATGTGGTTACCTTAAAATTAGGAGACGGATTATAGCTACTGGTTAGGAAGCAGTTTATGATTGCAAAGGAACATAGAGTGGTAGCAACAATCTATATAGACATCTATTTTATATCTACTCTAGAGGCCCGGTACATGAAAATTCATGCACTGGAGGGGAGTCCCTCAGCCCAGCCTGACCCCTCTCACAGTCCAGGAGCTCTCAGGGGCAGGAAGCCACCCAGCAATCAGGGAAAGGTGATGCCCCATCACCCCTCTGCTGCCGCCACTGCCTGCAGATTGTCTGTTTGACCAGGAGGCTAAGCCAGCCTGGGGAAGGGAGGGAGGCCCTAGCCAACAGCCTCTAGGGACCCTTCCAGTGCAAGAATTTCGTGCACTGGGCTTCTAGTATATAATATAAAATACTCTTGTTTCTCTTCAGATCGCATAAATCTTTCGCCTTCTACTAGTATATAATAAAAGGTTTTATGAGTAATTGATTTATGTATCCGCTAGGTATGTTACATTTGTATTAAAGCTAATTTCCTCTACTAAAATAAAAATGTTATTAAGCAAGGAATTACCATTTAGTATTCTCTTGTTCTTCTTGTTCTAGGAATGGCCTCTGCTTTTTCTTGGCCTGTTCTTCGAAAAGCCAGCTTTTCCTTTTCAATCCCTTCTTATGTTCTGAATTCAGGTTTATACTCTGAACAACAGCTTCAATGACATCTGTAACCGTATCAGGACCAAGGTGTAGTGCTGTTCCTTCCTCATCTTCATTCAATTCTGGGCTGACAAACTGGGTAGCCTGGAATGCTTGCATTGATACCACAGCTTGGAGGGGACATTTCCGAGGTCGACCTGGTCTGCGTTTTACAAAGTTATTTCCTGTCCTGGCTTGTCTTTGAAGTTTTTTGGCTTTTAAAATTTTATTGACATGGTCCAAGTTTTTCTTGGTGGCCAAGATTTTATCATAATTGCACATTTTCCGAGCTTGGCGCTGCATAGCTTCCATTATACTTCTCTTAATATGATGAGGGGAACAGCTGCTTGGCAACTTTTCAGAAAGGAGTGAGATGCTATTACTGCAAGAGTCACTGGGGACTGCAGGCACTAGAAGGCCATCTGGTTTCACTATGGTTCGCTCCTTGCTGTGGCTATGGCCCGGACTACAGGAAGGTGGCACAGAGGCAGATGCAACCTCAGCATCAATATTTTGCTCCAGGGGCTCTTGGTCCTCATGTTGTACCATCCGCTGCAACAGACTATCCACAGAGTCATCCCCAGAAGAAACCAATCTTGGACTTCGAGAGGGAATTCCGTTCACTAAATAAGATGACAAATCACACAGATAAAAACAACACAGCTAGTAATTTAAATAACTGTTTACATAGAACAAAAGGTAAGAAATTCTGCTCTATTTTTCACAGCAAGATTAAACATCATAATGCCATATGCATTTGTCTTTCACAGGCAAGTTGACAGCATACTTTCATGAATAGGGTACATTTCAGTAACCATAATAAATTCAAAATTGACCCATATTTCCTTAATAATATGTGGATTACAAAAATAACAATTCTCATTCTCTGAGATGGAAAGCAGACAAAAATGAGTTAATTTCTTCAAAACTGAAGATCTAATTAAAGGACTTGTCAGTTAAACCAATCTTGGAACTTGGATAAAGACCTAAACTTTAAATATAGATAATATTGCTAGTTTAATGCCTTTTCTGACAATGTCTTAAGTGCAAAGGAATAGAAGTAAAACTCTCTTCTTAAGTAAAGTTTTAAAATGATAATTTTAAAAATCTATACAGGTCTGGCTAGGAAGCTCAGCTGGTGAGTATCATCCTGATACACCAAGTTGTGATGTGATTCAGATTCCAGGGCAGGACACATACAAAAATCAACCAATGGCCCTGGCTGGTTTGGCTCAGTAAATAAGAGCATTAGTCTAGGTACTGAAGGGTCCCAGGTTTGATTCTGGTTGGGGGCATTTTCCTAGTTGCAGGCTTGATCGGGGTAAGGGGGCACGTGCAGGAGGTGGCCGATGGGTAATTCTCTCATGATTTATGTTTCTCTTTTGCTCTCCCTTCCTCTCTGAAATCAATAAAAATACATGGGGGGAAAAAAATCAACCAATGAATGCATAATAAGTAGAACAACAAATTCGTATTTTTCTCTCTCCATCTCACTACTCCCTCCCTCTTTCCTACTCTCTCAAAACAAACAAACAAACAAAAAAAGAAAAAAATCCCGATCCAGGCAGTCCTGGGTTCAATTCCCAGACAGGGCACATGCCTGGGTTGCAGCTCAATCCCCAGCAGGGGAGTGCAAGAGACAGCCAATCAATGATTCTCTCTCATCATTTATGTTACTACCTCTCTCTCCCTCTCCTTTCCTCTCTCTGAAATTAAAAGAAAGAGCAAGAAAGAAAAGAAACAATCCCATTTGCAACTGCATTAAAAAAATATTTGTATATAAATTTAACAAAGGAGATAAAAGTCCTATACATTGAAAAAAAAAAAGTCCTATACATTGAAGAAAGAAATTGAAGATACAAATACATGGAAAATAAAAATACAAATTCATGGATAGGGAAGAATTAATATCATTAGAATTTCCATACTACCCAAAGATTCTAGATTCAATTCAATCCCTACTAAAATACCAAAGCATTTTTCACAGAACTATAATAAATACTTTAAAAAATTTATATGAAACCATAAACGACCAGACTTGCCAAAGCAATCTTGAGAAAGAAAAAAGTTCTTTCTATAATTATTAGGCTATATTAATTAAAACAGCATTGACTAGCATAACTATAGACAAATAGGCCGATGGAACAGAATAGAGAGCCCAGACTATATAGTGAATTAATCTGACAAAAGAGGCAAGACTATACAATGGGTAAAGATAGTCTCATCAATATATGGTGTTGGGCCGAAACCGGTTTGGCTCAATGGATAGAGCGTCGGCCTGTGGACTGAAAGGTCCCGGGTTCGATTCCGGTCAAGGGCATGTACCTTGGTTGCGGGCACATCCCCAGTAGGGGGTGTGCAAGAGGCAGCTGATCGATGACTCTCTCTCATCGATGTTTCTAACTCTCTATTCCTCTCTCATCCTCTCTGTAAAAAATCAATAAAATATATATTAAAAGAAATAAATGGTGTTGGAAAACTAGACAGATACATGTAAAAAAAAAAATAAAGGAACCAGACCAGTTTCATACACCATATATAAGAATAAAATTAAAAGAGATTAAACACATAAATATAAGACCTAAATCCATAAAACTTCTAAAAGAATATTCTCTCATCATTGATGTTTTTATCTCTCTTTCCCTTCCTCTTTGAAATCAATAAAAAAATATATAAATATTACTAATTATAAATATATAAACTATTAATTTTGAGTTTAGAAATAAATATTAATTTTCTTCTTACAAACTTATAAATTGTTTTGTATATCTCAGAGATTCGTGAATGTTATATTTTTAAATATATGTTTCTCTTGGTATCAGATAGAGGAAGGGAAAGGAAGAAGGAGATGGAAACATCAATGGTAAGATGCTGGTGTGGCTGTGGTTGAGTGGCAACCTATAAACCTGGAGGTCACGGTTCAATTCCTGGGGAGAGCACATGTCCAGGTTGTGGACCTAATCCCCCGTGTGAGACATGCAGGAGGCAACTGATCAATGATTCCCTCTCATCAATAATGTTTCTCTCCCCCCTCCCCCGCTCCCTTCCTCCCTGAAAATAAATAATAAATACACACACACACACACACACTCTCTCTAAAAAAAAGAAGCATCACTCTGAAAACACAGGACACTACTGTATCAGTGTAGTAGTGCTTGTGTTCAATTAGCATTATTATTTTACTTAATAACAGCCCCAAATCACAGAAGTAGTGATGCTGGCCGTGGGCTATGTAAAAAAGAAGCCATAAAGTGCTTCCTTTAAATGAAAGGGTGAAAGTTAAGTTCATAATAGGGAAAGAAAAAAATAATCATATGCTGAGGTTGTAAAAATTTACAGTAAAAATTAATTTTCTATCTAAGAAATTGTAAAGAAGGAAAAAGAAATTCATGTTGGTTTTGCTGTCACATCTCAAACTGTGAAAGTTATGGCCACGAGAGTTATAATTACTTAGTTAAAATGGAAAAGGTATTAAATTTGTGGTGGAAGACATGAACAAAACATGATTCAGTATTATCTGTGATTTTAGGCATCCACTGGGGTTCTTGGAACAGTTTCTCTATGGATAAGGAAGGACTACTATATGTCTAGCTAGATACAAAGGAGTAAAAGGGGAAGACTATTATACTGTTTCAATGTACATTGTTACTGACTCCAGAGTAACTTTTTAAAATCAATATTATATGTCAACTAGAGACCCGATGCACAAAGATTTGTGCAAGTATGAGCCTTCCTTTTTCTTTTAAATATATTTTATTGACTTTTTACAGAGAGGAAGAGATAGGGATAGAGAGTTAGAAACATCGATGAAAGAGAATCATTAATCAGCTGCCTCTTGCACACCCCCTATTGGGGGTTTGTCCCTAACCAAGGTACATGCCCTTGACTGGAATCAAACCTGGGACCTTTCAGTCCGCAGGCCGAAGCTCTATCCACTGAGCCAAACTGGTTTCGGCAGAATGGGCCTTCTTTACCCTGGCTGCTGGCACCACCTTCACTCCGATCTGGAGCCACCCTTCCACCTTCCCATGCTGCCCAGAGGCCCGGAGTGGCTGCAGTGGTGCAGAATGCCTCTGGCCACAAGGCACCTGTATATGCAAATTAACCCATTTTTGTTTATTTAATTTGCATCCTCACTTCTGATTGGCTGTTGGGTGCCACAAAGGTATAATCAATTTGCATCATACCTTTTCATTAGTGTAGATATAACTTATAGTTTTTATTATAAATATATAATATTATATTTTAAGTCCATTCACAAGTAACAGATGATAAATTATCTTTAAAGTCTGGTTAAAGAAATAGCACTTGCCTGTTGAAGAAGTACTTTCAGATGAAGACCTCTTCCGGGTAGGGCTACAGTTCATATTCTCTGATGGTCGTTGGGAAGACTTGTCTGAGGTTGTTTGGGAACCTGGAGAGACAGGAAAATATAGAAATCATAGGAAAATTCAAGTATAAAAATAATGTTAAATCACACTGTGTTAGTTAGCACTGTAACAGTTGTTGCCAATGTCATTCCCTGTAATATGATTTTTGAGCTGACAATAACAGGACAATAAGCAGAGGACAAACCACACTAGATGCTGCCAAAAGAATTTCACAGGTTTCATATACACAATTTCTTCTGTTAGATTAACAGATGGAAAACTAATTTGGGTGGAAGAATGAACAGAATAATTCAGTTTTTATGTATTACTACTTTGAAACATATAATTGAGATGTTTATTAATAAAAACCACTAATAATATCCTAATCAAATCTGTTCTTGATTATTAATTCAAATTCACCATATAAACTGACAAACAAAACTTACAATGCAAACTGATAATTTCATTTATTAGAATCAGAGATGAAAATTAAAGAATTAGACCTAAAATCCACATATTCATCTAGAGGTAATTTTCATATTCTATGTTTTCCCGCTGCAGCTTATTCTAAAAGTAACTAATTTATCCATGAAAGGGAATAAACTCCCTTTAAAGCTGTACATAAAAGCTCACGAAGATACACTCAATTTTCCTTCAAAACGTCTCCTAGTTTTACCAAAACACCAGGTCAATGCAGCATAATTTAACACATCTCTTACCCACTCAAGAGATAAGTCATTCAGGAAAGGTTATTTTCCTGAATAAACTATACTTGTTTCTCATTGGATTCCTTATAACCTAAAAATCTAGCTGTTGAAAATACGTAAGGAATGTCAATTTCATGTTTTGACAAAAAACTAGTAGCGCTCTGAAATGTTCCCTTTTAACTTGAAAAGATTACAAATAAAAAGCCTTACGTATAACTGAAGGCACAAAAGGTACAAGAAATCAAATAATTGAAGATGAGATTTTTAAGATCTGCCTCTAGAGTTAACTCCTTAAAGAAGAAGGACAAACTCCTTAATGAAGAAGGAGGACAAACTGAAGAACTGAATGCAGCTATTTCTAGTATATCCATTTCTCTAAGAGAAAAAGTAAGCCATGAGCTTTGTTTATATTACATATCTTCAATCTCATTACAGTAAATACTCTTTTAGCAGACTCTTTTAGCATTGCTCAGGTAAGATATAAGACTATGCATTGCCATTCAAGATTAACAAGTTAGATTTCTGGAAAATTGATGTTGTGATAGTATAGCCTACATCTGAAACACAGTGATGACTAAAGTAAGATCTAATCAAGAAGCAAGACTTATTATTGAATCTTAAAAATAGATATAAAAGGATTTAAAAAAAAAAACAACACCTAGACTATGGTTCAGATAAGATTTCCATCAAATAGCTAAATACAATAAAATACCTAAGAAGTAAAAGCCCAGCCATCAGCGAAGACATAACTATAAGTATTCATAATTAATACTGGACAGGTATTTCCTACTTAGAGAGACAGCCAGGCAGAAGACAACAGTGGCCAAGAAGTTTGAGACACTGACCTCTATTCTCTATTTTCTTAGATTAAGTGCTAAGGAAAGATGAGTTGGAGAGCACTTTCTATCAAGTCTTTCCTCTCAGTCACAAACTAACACGTATTGAATATAGTTTACATGCTTGGTACTATGCCAGACATGGTAGAGGTTGTGGAATAGATATAAAAACAGCATAACAGTCTGTCCGCAAGGAGCTTATTTTGGGTCATGTACGTCAGCATATAATACATTTCAGGTGGCATTTGTGCCATCCATTCTTGAGCTCCATCTTCAGTTTTTAGGCTATTTGGTAATGTTTCCCAAATTCCTTGATCATCTTCAAGAAATTCTTGATGAAGGCTTCAACTATACCTTTGATCATCAGGATATCCTGAGAATCACCCTGCCTGGCCTCACCCACCTCAGGGTAAAAGAGGGTACAGGCACTTTCTTCAAAGCTCCTTCTTTTGGTGGCATCTGGAGCTGCAGAGGAGGCAGTGGGAGGTGGAATGGGGGTCAGATCCCCGGAGATCGTTATTGGCAGCATTGTACAGCAATTCCTGAGAAACTGAAACAATTGAGAAAGAGATGGCTTAGCTTACTTAGCTTCTGAGCCATTTTTCATTTCCTGAAAGTAATGGAGGCCAGCAGCCTATTCTTAGGATTTAATAGGAGATTAGAATAAAATTTCATTCAGGAAGGTTCTCAATTTTCATTTTTAAAAGTCTGTCTGAATTCCCTGTTCAACAGAGCAGAACTGTTCTTGACAGTATTCCATATTTGAGGGGAATAAAGTTGTATCCCTGAGACACTAATCTCCAGGGCTTGGTGGTCATCAGATCTAGACTCTTATTTCATTTAAAAACATTGCTTAGCAGTAAGAGAATGAGGATACCTGAAAACAATATTAACTAATGATGTAACCAAGTTTAAGACTGGAAAACGATGATATAAACTTATGTGCAAGAGGTAGCAACCTAAAAAAGACATCCAAAAGCATGTTCAAATTGGCCTAATCATATGAAATCTGCAAACATTATCTCCAAAACTGCCAGAAGTATACTGTTTTATAAGTGCCACTATCCAGTTGGGTGGCTGGTGAACAGCAAGTTAATACCTAGAGAGAACAAGCATGTCTATTTCAAAAGAGACCTACATATCTTTTCAAAACCTGAAACAGAATGCAATGCAGGGTTGAGTGTAGTATAGTGTTAAATACATGGACTATGGAGTAATGCATGGTGAGCTTGACTTTTGGCTCTGCTATAAATTAAACTATAAAATGTAAGCAAATATATATACTTGAACATTGGGTTATTAAAGCACTCTCACATTATGCCCAATTAGAAACTGGAACTAATTTAAAATATTAAGCACTTCTCTTAAATATAAAGAAGTACTAGTAAAACAAGTACCTCTAATTAAGAAGTACTAATAATATAGGTACCTCCAAGGCTGGTAGATAACAGCAAGATTGGAAAAAGCTCCTATGAAGTGAATCTTCTAATTCACTGATTCTTCACCATAGCTTCTCCAGGGTTGGGATTATGCCCTAGATTACACCAGTAAAACCATATGTGAGAAATAATGAGTCACACCCTGAAGGTGTCTGGCTCTATTCAGCTCTGTACCAGGGGAGAAGGTAGTTTTCTGTTTTTATTTGGCTCTTTGGTTCTTCTAAATCATAGTTCATTTTTCAGGGGAGTTCCTGCTTTGTTGCTATCTCCATCACATGACAAAGGTTTGTTCATGTCTCATACGTGGTCATTTTAGATCTGCCTGGGGGAATATGTGAAGACTCTCCAATACTCACAGGACAAGAAGTTTAGGAAGTCTTCAGTTCAAGAAAATCAGACCTTTCCTCATAATACACACAAAGAACACATATAATTTTAATTTTAGATACCAGAGAGTTCCCATCATTTCTAATTTCAATATAGTGTAAAGCCAAATAATTAAGTACTTTATAAGTAAACAAAGAATATAAATGGGAACTCCTCAATTCACAAAACTATTAGGTAGAAACACTACTGTCTCATCACTCAAACAACAGCTTTAGAAATAGGTTTAGAAATATATACCCATAAGTGAAAGAAGCAGAATAGATTATGCACTAAATAAAACTGAACTTCAACATAAATGTAAGCTGATTACTACAATAAAGTTATTTTTTCAGTTAGAAAAATAGAGACCTCATGTAAAAAAAAAAAAAGCAGACTAGTAAGGAGGGAAATTGAACAAAGAGAATATTATCAATTGGGATAATAAAAAGAGAATTAAGAATTAAAAACAAATTTGGAAATGTGAGTGAGCCCTAGAAGCTGTTTTGATAGTAGGATTTTTGGATTTTATTTGGCCACTATTTGATGAGCTTTTCAAGATTAAGACAGGTTGTATGTCAAATTAGACAAAAAGGGGAAAGATGGTACTTTATAGCAAAACCATAAGATGAAATCATGGATAAGAATGCCAGAAAGTTGAAAACAAAAACAAAAAAACATAACTGGATTTTAAAGGGATAAGCATCTGGAAATCTTCACATTATACACAACAATGAGTGGAAACCAAGAAGATGTTCTGAAGTTTATCTGCCAGAAGACATTTTGATTGATGTTTACATAGGAGGCACTGAAATGTAAGATAAAAAAGGAATACTACATTTATAGATGCCTGGGTGTAAAGATAAGAGTCAAATGGGCAAAGATATCCACATAAATAGAGAAAATTTCCACTGATAACAGTATCTGTGGGGATGGGGGGAAGGCATCACAAAGAAAACACTGGAATAAAAAGATTCAAACTAATCATTGAAGAATCCTAGACAACGAAATGAAGAATTTGCAAATGTAAATTAGCAAAAATAACAACAGCAAGTGAATGAAACCAACAACAGTTGGATAAAACATGTATTTCTTTAGTCTAAATCCATTATTAAATCTTCCATAACTTAATATAGCATAAATTTTGGTCATGCACTGTTGGGAGTTCAACACTAAAGACCCAAGTAACTATGCAATGCTTTGAATGAGCAACAGGTTCTTTGATGTTTCTAATGCTAGGAAGAAATATCTTTGGATAAAACAGAGTAAGAATGCTAGATTTGGAAGGATATTATGCAATAATCAGTTCAAAGAAAAAGTGATTGTAAAATAACATTTAAAACAAATTTCTAACATTTAAATCATTATTTTTCACCAAGACAAAAATAGTTGCAAAATTTTAAGAAATTCCTTTTCCTTTATCATTTATATGTCAAGGCTATTAGCAATGTTTGTTAGACATTGACAGAATCAAAACTGGTTATAATAAAAATGGATACCATAGTAAAAGAATATGAACACAAAATACCAAACTATTTGAAAATGTGTGATCAAGGTTTTTTGTTTCAAGATCCAAATACTTTGCTTTGTTTCACAGTTCATAGTAGCCCTGGAAGCTTCTTTTGAATAAAGTGACTACTGAGAGAGAGATAAGAACTGGTTCCACAATAAAAACAGCTGATTCCAATTTTGGGAAATA